TGTTTTAAAGTGATAACCACAGACAAACATATTTAATAAATTGAATTTTTAGTATTCTATTCTGGTAGTTAGTGAATGAACCATTATACTTATATGTACTGTACTTTCAAATGGTGAGTTAGAGACTTTTCTACTGGTTTGTTACACTGATGTTCATTCTATACAGTACCATCCCATCGTGTACCTGTACCATGTTTATCATTTCACCATTAACTAAGAGCTAGGCTGTCATGTACCTGCGTTTAACCCCTATCAACATATAAAGAGGATCTGAGCACGATAGTTGTATCCTGTATGCATCTAGGGTTCTATATAGATTTCTCAATGTTTGAGTGAAATATCAAGATGAGTCAGGGTAATCATATATTGTTTTTTCAAGTGTTTTTCCTTAGCCAGATTCTGTTATAATCAATTTAAGTTACATTTAAAATGAAAATGTCACGCTGCACTTTTTATTTTTAGAATTTCAGGAAGTCCCGGAGTCTAGAGTAATTTTTTGTCAGTGATATTTTGAACGAGGCATAGGATTGTACTTCTATAACATCATTGTGTTTGCCATTTTAAAACATGATCATCTCATGACTGAAAAGAAATGAGATGACTTATTTTATCATAATGCTGTATTTGTCATCTCGTATTTGTGCAAGAGTAACAGTTGTCCCATTTCTCCAATAATCAGTCTAATATATGTGTGTAATGTGTAAGAAGGGGTAAGTTACACTAAATACCCAAATGTTTGTTATTTTTGCCTTGGCCAAGATTAATGTAAATCCCTTTCTCAACAGATGGTTTTGTGTTCAACACCCTTCCTGTACAAATAATGAATATTGCAATATTATCACTGTCTCAGGGGTAATGTTTTGACAAAGTTTATCTGGAGTTGTTGATTTATGATGATTGTTTCTTAATGAAATCTAGCAGTTAATTCTTAGTGCTGATTATGTGCAGTCAAGTCAGGTCAAATGTCCGTGTGATACATTGATTGCCTTCTCATGTATTCTTTGATTATGTCTTCCATGATTAGGATATCTTCATTGTATTGTATATCACCTTTGATGTTTTTCTTGGAGTCAGTCTTGCTTCACATTCTGCCAAAACGAGCTTTACAAAGATAGAAGAGCATGAGGACATCAACAGGAATCTATACCATCTTCAACTTGATATTCAAGGGCCTATGATTGGTGTATAGTATAGTATTAGTGATCAAGGCCTATTTATAATGAAGTTCACTATTTTATACATTATTCTGTTACAATATTTTACAGTTGTATCAAGTATGTTTATCAGGATGTGGTTTCTAGAATCTTTAACCAACAAGCAGGTCAGAAAAAAAGAAAGAAAAAGACCAGATGAACATTGATTGAAAGTATGAATCCTATTGTTTGCTTTCCTACGAGCTGCTTTATCAGACTGTTATCTCTATTAACTTGATTTTAATTTGGAAATCAGCAATGTTATGCCAATGTTTGATTACATGGCTTGAACCTTTGAACATAACGAGGTTAATGTGTAATTTCCCTATATGTTAAACAGCAGCACCAGATGGTGTGTCTGACCAAGCTGACATGTATCTTCATCAGTCATATCTACAGTAAAACACTGTGATGAGCACATACCAGAACCATGTGTATGTCTAGATGAAATATTTGAATCATGTAATTAAAACTTTGTTTAACTCAGCAGAAGATGGGAGAGATGTGATGGATATCAGAATGTGTATGTATAAGTAGGGAGGTGCATGGTTTTAACATCCCATCATCTAACATGTTTAAACGATACAGATTCTGAAGATGTTTAAACAAAAAGGGTTCTTCAAAAGTAAGGAAGCCATTCCTGTTAAATCTCATCATGTGTTAGGGCTACACCAGTCTCCATGTCTTGAGGCAAGTGAGGTGTAAGATATTAAATATGATCTGTTTTTCTGGTGTTGGAGGGTTAGCGCCATGACCTGTGAACACATGAGTATCAAACTGAGCAAGAGCCAGATGTGACCTGGAGCTTGGCCATGTTGCAATATTCTAAACATGATGCGAATACCTCGCAGATTAATCAGTTGTTCAGTTATCGGCTTAATGCTCTCTCTTCATGTATTATTTTTCTTGTCTTTGAGTTTTTGTAGCTGTTTGTCTCCTAGCAGTGTAATGTTTCTATATGTAGAGATAAAGCTCTCCCTTTTTGAAAATAGATAAGTTTGCTTGATGAACAGTTAGGCTGCCATCCAAACTTGCAAACTTACAAATAAAAGAACATGCACGATCATCTTATTTGAAATTCAAAATAGAAAGGAGTTGAAAATTACAAGGGATTACAATGCAATGCAGTTAATACCCTTAACTCAGCCAGAAACCAGAAAGAAAATCAAAAATTCTTGTATTTTAGAGAGGACATTCCAAGAATAAGCCTAGTCAGGGTGGTGTTTTAAAGATAGGAAGGTTGCCAACATAGATTCTGTTATTTACCAGGCTTACATTTACATGGAGGAGTATACATACATGAGTTGCATAGATATTCCTTGGGGAGGCTGGGTTGGAATTACTTCATATACATTTTTACATGCTGTGAGGTCAAACTAGGAAGTTGTTTGATGATTTGCTTTATTCTGTATGTTTGGATTTTGAATTGTTTTAAATAATGCATTCCTAAAAATCAGGATATTACAGAAATAGGAATTAGATAGCGAGAGAGTAGATCCGAAAAGCCAGTGGAAGGTATGTGACTGCAATTAAATATACAGAATCAATATTTGATTTGAAAATGTAAATCTTTTGATGTGAGATATCTATGTTTGTTTAATATCTTCATCTACACATTTTTTATTTTCAAGGTGTCTGCCTTTTGGATATAACATACAGATATTCAATCAAGTATCAGAGATGTTAAATCTGGATGACATATTTTAAGCAAACAATTTCAGTGTATGTTATCTCTGTATGTTCCCTGCTTGGGCTTTGTCCTTTCTTTGTTTTAGAGGCTGGTCACATTCCTTTAGACCCATCCCAAGAGTAGAATATCAATTTTAGTCTTGTATATCTCTACCCCCTATTACAAATAAAGCTTGTATATCTCTACCTCCTATAACTAATAAGGGGTGAGAATGGATGGAGACTTAATTAGAAACCATGCTCAGATGAAATGAATGGGTAATTCAATGGGCTCGAAGATTAATACAGTGCCAGCACAGATGCAGATGCAGTCCATTTATATTGAATGTTCAATGTTAAAATGAAAATTACCAGTTATTTCATTTAGCCGATGTGACTTTTGACTAATGAAGAATTTACAAGATGTGACACGAAATGGAACTATTCTTTGTTGTTAATTGGGGAGAAAGTAACTTCTGACTGATCATCATAGGCCTGACTCAACTAAAAAATTGACCAAACGCCAACTGAAAGATGAGTTTCATGACTTCTTACAGAATATCTGGTGTCATCTTTTTTAAATAAGATAGAGAAAGATGTATTGCTACATATATTGTTGGTACATTACATGCTTAAGAAAAAATATAGGTTACGGATACTTGTGGAAAGTACACAATTTTCAATATTTTCCGCCTCTCTTTGATAACCATGCTATCTATATACAAGCAGGTGATTGTATATATTTGGAAATCACATGCTATTATTTCTGCTCTTCAAATAGCTTTGACCCCCCCCCCTTATATATAGAGCACCTGTGTTTCTTCTCTTGATGTCTAATCAGACAATATAATACAAAGTGAGCCAAAAGTAGGTTTAGAGTTATTTAACAATTTCTCTCTTAAATATAAATATACCTTTTTGCCACCCTGTAAATATTAGAATCTTACTTCACATGTCATTGGGGAAATATAAATTGTGCATTATATTCCAGAGAAAATGGGAAGGTTATATGCTTACTGAGATAAGTTAATCTGTACTTTGATACATTTCAACAAATTACAAGTTACCACATTTACAATGATAAATGTATAATATCTATCTACACATCCTTAGATATATGTTATTCACTTGAGGCCTGGTATAATAAAAACATATTTGCCTAAAGGTTTGGTATGGTAAGGTTACCTTTACATGCTATTACATATATTTATGGGTTAATCCAGCTTAGTATGATTTTATCAGTGGGAGTTCGTTGTGTTCAGTTATGATGGAACCTGTTGTTCTATATCAAGATTAATATTATGTTATGTACTGATTCACACTGTATGCTATAGGATGTATACATATGAGGTAAGATTATGTACTACATAGACTTTGTATTAATCTGAAGTGTGTTTACTGCATGTCTAGGACATAGGTGTTCATTTAATTGCTGCACTAAGCAACACAGATGTATGTGAGACCCCCTCCCCATGCAGGGAGGGTTTGGAATTTGACTAGTATTTTCCCTGGTAGTGGAATCTTGACATAGTACTTCATTACATTGAGGGACATTTGAAATGTACGTTCTTCATATTAATTAACAACAAATACCCTAAAGTCAGCTCAGAATATTTGATTGAGATGATACTTTATGCCAAATTAATGTTAAGTATGAGAATATGCTGTTCACTTTATTGTGTTTCTTCCTGTATCAAAATAAAACATCTACATTTATTTTACCTACAGGCTACAGTATACAGTTTTATATATTTGTTCATGGCCTTGTTCTTTCCATCCGAACCATGCTCTCTAGCAACTTCTCCACTTGCGCATGAGTTCCCACATGATAAAGTCTTCACATTTGTGTTCTTATATATTCATTAAATAGGTGAAAAGTTGAATGTGTAATCAGTAGCAGGACATAACCACCCTAATATGCTCTGTTGCCTGTCTGTCATCACAAGAGTGGAACTTGTGGAAATATAACACTAATGTACATGATCTAGACCTACACAGTCACTTCTGTTAGATCTATACACCATTTATAACACTGTAATGAGATTTCTTCTGTTCCTTGTGCTTCTGGTATCCTGGTTATTATAGTAAGAGGTTATGTTACATTTTTGATCTCATAGTTTCTTTTTTTTATATTTTCAGGATTTATTTGGATTTACGTCATACTGATTACACTAAAGTCAACAGTTCTGCATATAGCTAGGTTACAGTTGGGTAAGTACAGTTTGGTTCTTATGCATTCTTAGAACAGTTTAGTATTTTGGTGGTTTGGTGACCGACTGCATAAGGGGTCTTGGTAGAAATGTTGTTCAGCCGCTGGGAACAAACAGATTCTAATCTTCTCAGTATTCACTGGTTCTGTCCAGTTGCCTCGGTTTTCCATATAGAGCAGTCTACCTCCCAGGCTGAGATTACAATGCTACAATTAGAGTCTCCGGATATGGGAACATGTTATGAGAAAAATGGTTGGATTTACATGTCTTCACAGCAGTATGTTCGTCATTGTTCAATCATTGATTTTTCTATTTTGTTTTTGACCATACAGTTCTAATATATTGATTAAATAAATAATGAAACACTTCTGAAGTGCTTGCTTGTTCAGTAAATATACTCTACAAATGTTTTCTTCAACTTCAACTCTGTTTATGACATTTTCAATTTGAATTGTGATATTTTCAAGTTGAATGTACTTGTCGTTGATTTAAAAAAATATTTTGTATGACCAGTGACCAACAAGGTTAATTTTTTACTTGATATGATTGATTCCAAAGGGAGGGAGGGGTAACAAAGGCTTGAAGGCATACTTGATGTTCTCCCACAGTTTATTTCTCAAAAATAAATTCTAAATAGGTACAAGGTACTATTCTCAATTATACACAGCTTCAAGTTGCTTCATTGCTAGGAATATCACTGGAACTGAGTACATGCTTGTATGAAAGGGGCAGGGCAGAAATACTACATTTACTGCACATAATTCATAGATTCTGGAATGTGCCACTCTGGACACTCTGTTCCATCAATAAAAAAAAAATTTATTTTCTACCTCAGTATTTCTCAGGTATCTCCAGAGAGACAATGATGAATTTATCAATACAATTGAAATTTGCCTAATGTTCATCAGTTACAGAAAGTTAGGTTTATCTGTATCTATTACTAGTGAAGTCAGAATGCAATGTAGGGAGTGTCTATAGCAAGCTCATCTACTAGATAATGTTACTAGCATAGACTTTACTGTTACTATCACTTGCTGATGCTTGGGATTACACAGCCCTAAGTTTCTATAGCAACCTGATTTCCAAAATATCATCAATGTTGATTTGAGTAGAATTTGTGTGTAAAGTCAAGTACATGGTGAGGATAGATGCTGGTTGCAATTGAATCAAACTATTTCTAGGTTAATCTTCTGTATAGTATAGTATTTAATTTGTATAGATGCTTCAAGTTCACTTCAGTTTGGCATTGTTTAATGTTTACCTATACCTAAGTTGTTCATAAATGTTCATTACTTTATGATAATGAATTTCTTTCTTTCTTTTGGAGAGTATCGATATAACCTTTAAATTTTTTTACAAATTGTTACCATAGGGAGTACACATAAAAAATGACGAGAATGTAATACATTCTGAAGCTGCAAGATAGATATTGATCTAGTTCATGTTTCTACGCTTGTTTCATAATGAGTATTTTAGTATCTACTAATCACTTAACTATGGTACTCCTTTAAATCATCTCCCATTAGAGGAAGTGTCAAGAAACCCATGGGAGCCCTAGCACCAGGAGGGAGATCATATTTAAATTGAATATTAGGATTATCTCTAATCATTAATATGTTACTGTGTTGATGTTGTGAGTTATTATTGGCAGATGTTTGAGATCTTCACTGCTATCTTGGGTGTTGTTATTAATGCAAGTCTGGGCCAGGGTTAGCATTGAATTCCAATATTCTAGAAACAAAGTGACAAGACTGGGAAATTATTTTAAAGCAGTGATATCATATCACAAGGCTAATTTCTTAGTAAGAACAGAAAAAATCATTGGTACGTAAAACTTTTTCCCAAACAATAACTTAAAATACACTTAAAAACAGTTGTACAGATGTATCTTAAAGCATTGTAGTTAACAACTTTACCAATTTATTACCCTTTGCATTTGTTTGACTTCACTTCTTAAAAGAGAGCTTCGTCTTCACTCTTTCAAACTAAAATAAACCTGTGAACTCACCGCGCCAATCAGTGTTAGTCCAAATTTGACCGACGTTCTATATATGGTCATTCCTTCTGACGTCATCGTTGAGCCCAAAATTGACCAATGACATGCGCATATTAAATTAGAACGCATTTGGCGTATGTTTTTTCAAGCTCGCTAATTGGTGGAAGAAAGGTCAGCGCGTAGGTCAAAAGTGATTTATTACCCAAACTGTCACCGGTACCAGTCGTGGGGGCGGGGCTACTAAACTGTAATATGGTCTCTACTAGGCAGAGTGTAGTTTAACTAGACTCTGCACGCAGGGTTCCAATTTATGAAGCTTTTGGATAAAATGTGTTCTCTAAAATGATGTCTCTAAAATCAAATCTTTTTAGACAGGGTATGAAGGACCAGAATCTACCCAAATATTGAGTTTGTCAACATAAGTATCTTCTAGGTCTAGGTTGATAGTCTTTCCTAGATTTGTGCCTGTGCCTTGTGCATCAAGGTAGAAGGGTTAGAATGGCTTTGAGCAAGACTATTTTGTATGCTAAGTAGATCCCATAACTTGTTCAACTAATGACTCACCTCCTCTTTGAAAGAAGAGAGGAGTGCAATGTGAGACAAGCTAACATATCATAAATCTTGTCTTGTGTCAATAATGTAGACGCAACTGCAAGAAAGGATATTGCAGCGCAGCATGAAAATGGCTAACTCAAGTAAAATATGTTGAGATGTCATTGACCTCTATGTAAGTTATGCACTAATGATGTTATGTTATAGCTGTGTTTTTCATATTTCTTTGGGCAAACCTAGCAATATTTTTACTAACATTGAAATGTTATATGTAAAACATGACTTTTTGAATGCTATATGTCTTTCTTATAAGGAATATTTTTTAATTTTCTCATTCGTTTTTTTAAAAATGTCCCTACACACATCATATATGTAGGTAGAGTTTTAAGTGTTGTCCAAGGTGGCACAATATGACAAATCTCAGGCTGTAGCATGATTAAGTGCAACACATGTTATCTTTCTTTTTATATGTTCTCTCAATGGAATATTGAAGCAAATTCTAAAGCCATTTAACGCATATTGATTGATTCTGTATATATGTATGTTGTACAGTAGGAAAGCTTGTGTTTGCTGTTCGCGCCATTTTACCCTATGGACTAGACAATATTGATTTATTTACCATAAAATAATGTTAACCTTCAATATACACAGTGTTCACCCTGGAATTTTTTCTCAAGTGGGTGAAAAATTCTTGATTTCACAGTTTACACAAAATTTGGCCAAGATATGGCTATTTTCATGATTTTTCTCATTTTCAAGTGTGTACAAATGGATTCTCAGTAGGGTGCAAGCCTATCTTTAAAATCTCAAGTGGGTGCAGCACCCACTTGCTATAATGCTGGGGAGATCACTGATACATATGTATCAATGCACACGTCACTTTCTATATTTGTTATTATCTGCAGTTTCATAAATAGCGCAATATATTCTGAAGATTTTTTTTCTTGGGGAGATTATGTAGCAACATAGGGAATTCTGAATTCTATTTATATGAGCTTTCTTTTATTCAATATATTCTCTTATATTCAGATTCAGAAATTGGCAGAATATATTCCGAGAACAAAATTATTTCTCTTGTGGGGATACTGTAGCAACATGGTAATTTTACATCCAATTTTACCAGCTATAAATACCCAGTATCGAATTAATCACCATTAATGCAATATGAATCATGTCATATTACCTCTAAAGCAATAATCTGTATAATGTCACTGTGTGACTGCATTCATAATGAAAATATTACTAAGCGCAGAAACAAAAGATTCAGTGTATTACAATGCAGTCACATGTTATAACCAATGAATCATTGATACTCCAGTCATATGACTTGTGAAGATTGAAATTCTATCTCTCAGTTTATAATAAATAGATTAATTAGGTGCTTGTTTCTGAGTTTTGATACCATTGAAATCTGATTCGAATTTGTATGCAAATGTTAGTGCAAATGTACTTAGTTTTGCTATATAGACATTGAAACCCATTTATAGCAAACATATTTTATGTATACATTTGTAACTTAAGTTAGATGTTCACTTTATTATGATGGATCTGAATGAGTCTAAATGATAAACGGGATTAAAAAAGATGTCTAGTACGAGATCAAGGTGTTCATTAATTGGATGGTCCATGAGATGGAGGTGTTTGTATAAGTTGTTTTTCACTGTATGCATCACATGCAGATACAAATCAGAGCTATCTCTCATCTAAATTCCCAGGGCAAAACTTCAGTTTTACCACAAATATGTTGTTTGTTAAAAAGACAAAACATTTAACATCATTTTTCAGACTATACTGTCGACCTGACATATTAAGGTCACAGTTGCTATCTGTTTCATCCTACCTTGCAAATTATGTTTACAATTTCTCAATATTTGACATGATTAACAAGTGAAATGGAAGAACTTTGAGTTTTAGGGCATTTGGAATTTTAGGGTGATGTATTTTATATACAGGTGAGTCGACTGTATGTTGAAGCTTTCATTCTGAGTTTTGAATGTTCAAAGTTGTTTAGCAAGTTTGTGTCTTTTCCTTTATATCCATCAAGTACCTACATGCACATATCTTTCTTTTTAATGTTTTACTTTCAACTGGCTGTGAATTGAACATTTGTGCATGAAAATATGAAAAGAAGTTGCTTTTTTTTTCAATTAATGATACATATCAGCCTTAAAGTTTAATACTGTTTTTATGGGTTTTTTCTATTGATAAATCAAACATGAGAGTTCACACTGTTAGTGAACCACAAGTTTTACACTTTACCCAAAACCATGATTACCCTGTTATTTTGTTCATTTTGTATGTTTTCATCAATTATTTCTATCCTGAGTTGAAGTGTTTGTGCATGTTTCCTGGAAAATCTCAGAAAGTAGATTGTTGTTAATTGTAATTTACAGTAAACTTGTCTTAGTGAACACCTCTCTCTAGGAAACACCTGTCTCTTGTAGACATCCTTC